AATGAATCCTGTATGCAATCGATAAGGACGTCTCCATTACTTGGTACAGCATAAGGCGTTCAGCATCACGTAGGAAATATCAGGTTTTTTGAGCCTTAAATTATTTACCTTCTGCTTTGGATAGTGAGGCTTCTCAGAATAATTCAAGTGTTGTCTTTGGCTCTTCTGTGCACATCCCTTTGTGTCCAACCCTTTACGTGCCCCCCACAAAAGGGATCAGATACCTGTCACCCGATAGCAGGAGAAGACAGAGAATCTATACATAGTGAGTCTTACTCAAGATGTTCCTTGAAGATTTTGATCATAGGCAGTTCATTTAAACAGAATCCTTCCTGGCCCAAGCTATTTAGAGTGGGTGATGGGGATTTTGGACCCTCTAGACTAGGAGTGGGGAACCTAAGCCCCAGGATCCAGATGTGATCCATGGCTTGTCTGCATCTGGCCCCCTGGGCTCTGGGCTCCTCCTCCCACACAGCATTGGGCAGTCTACACTGACACTCCCGTCCCTGCTATTCCCCCTCCCTTTTGACTGATTTTTCTATGGCTCAGCAGCCCCTGAACCAAAAAAGGTTTTCCACCCCTGCTCTAGATTTCCTGAACAGTTTAATTATTTCCCTTATTAGCACACATGAGGATGCAGGGGTGGGAGAGGATAATGACCGTATGCAGTTCCATGATGCCTGTAAGCACAGACAGAGCCTGCAACTGGCGGCATCAGATGTCTGTTGGAAAAGAGCAAACAGGTGACCTGGAGGTGGACGGAGTAACACGGACTGCTGCACTGCACATGCTCGTTCCGCCTCAGCCCCCACCTGGGGCCCAAGTGAGCAACAAAGGGAGCCCAAACATACTCTTTTCTCTTAGTTAGCATGCAAATACTCCTATACATTATATCACCATGTAGATCCGGATGATTGGAAAAAGGCAAATGTAGTGCCCATCTTCAAAAAAGGGAAGGAGGACAATCCAGGGAACTATAGGCTGATCAGTCTTACCTCGGTTCCTGGAAAAATCATGGAAGGGATCCTTAAGGAATCCATTTTGAGGCACTTGGAAGAGAGGAAAGTGATTAGCAATAGTCAGCATGGATTCACAAAGAGCAAGCCATGCCTGACCAATTTGATTAGCTTCTATGATGAGGTAACTGGCTCTGTGGACATGGGAAAGTCAGTGGATGTGATATATCTTGACTTTAGCAAGGCTTTTGATACGGTCTCCCACAAAATTCTTGCCAGCAAGTTAAGGGAATGTGGATTGGATAAATGGATGGTAAGATGGATCGAAAGCTGGCTAGAAGGCCGGGCCCAGCGGGTAGTGATCAACCGCTCAGTGTCAGGATGGCGGTCGGTTTCTAGTGGAGTGCCCCAAGGTTCGGTTCTAGGACCGGTTTTGTTCAATATCTTTATTAATGACCTGGATGAGAGGATGGATTGCACCCTCAGCAAGTTTGCAGATGACACTAAGCTAGGGGGAGAGGTAGATATGCTTGAGGGCAGAGATAGGGTCCAGAGTGACTTAGACAAATTGGAGGATTGGGCCACAAGAAATCTGATGAGGTTCAACAAGGACAAGTGCAGAGTCCTGCACTTGGGACGGAAGAATCCCAAGCATAGTTACAAGCTGGGGACCAACCAGCTAAGTAGCAGTTCTGCAGAAAAGGACCTGGGGGTTTCAGTGAATGAGAAGCTGGATATGAGTCAACAGTGTGCCCTTGTAGCCAAGAAGGCTAATGGCATATTAGGTTGCATTAAGAGGAGCATTTCCAGCAGATCCAGAGATGTCATTATTCCCTTTATTCGGCTCTGGTGAGGCCACATCTGGAGTATTGTGTCTAGTTCTGGGCCCCCCACTACAAAAAGGAGGTGGACGCATTGGAGAGGGTCCAGCAGAGGGCAACCAAAATGATTAGGGGGCTGGAGCATATGACCTATGAGGAGAGGAGGGTCTGTTTAGTCTGGAGAAGCGAAGAGTGAGGGGGGATTTGATAGCAGCCTTCATCTTCCTGAAGGGAGGTTCCAAAGAGGATGGAAAAAGGCTGTTCTCAGTAGTGACGGATGGCCAGGTTGGACATTAGGAAAAACTATTTCCCTAGGAGAGTGGTGAAGCACTGGAATAGGTTACCTAGGGAAGTAATGGAGTCTCCATCCCTAGAGGTGTTTAAGTCTCGGCTTGACAAAGCCCTGGCCGGGTTGAGTTAGTTGAGGTTGGTCCTGCCTAGAGCAGGGGACTGGACTTGATGACCTTCTGAGGTATCTTCCAGCTCTATGGTTCTATGATTCTATGATCCTTATTTGGTAAGGTGAACACCCATGTAATGCATAAACATAGTCATGTGATGAATATTATTAGCCCGCCTCTGTTTACTAGATTTTGCTAAAGACATCTCATTATGGGGGTGGGGTGAGGGCTCCATGACCTTGAAGGCATATCTCAGAGTGAGGGGGAACAGATGGGGGGAATAGGGAGATGCCATTGCTTCACAGAGAAGGCATTCATTACAATCTTCAGGTCACATCTGCAGCTTATCTCCATAAGAACATAAGAATGGCCATACTGGATCAGACCAAAGGTCCATCTAGCCCAGTAGCCTGTCTGCGAACAGTGGCCAGCACCAAGTGCCCCGGAGGGGGTGGACTGAAGACAATGATCAAGCGATTTGTCTCGTGCCATCCATCTCCAGCCTCTGACAAACAGAGCCCTTGGCTAATAGCCTTTTATGGACCTAACCTCCATGAAATTATCTAGCTTCTCTTTAAACTCTGTTATAGTTCTAGCCTTCACAGCCTCCTCTGGCAAGGAGTTCCACAGGTTGACTATGCGCTGTGTGAAGAAGAACTTTCGCTTATAAGTTTTAAACCTGCTACCCATTAATTTCATTTGGTGTCCTCTAGTCCTTATATTATGGGAACTAATGAATAACTTTTCTTTATTCACCCTCTCCACACCACTCATGCTTTTATAGACCTCTATCATATCCCCCTCAGTCTCCTCTTTTTCAAACTGAAAAGTCCCAGTCGCTTTAGCCTCTCCTCATATGGGACCTGTTCCAAACCCCTGATCATTTTAGTTGCTCTCGATGTGGCACAACTGCAAATTTACCTGACCCTAACAAGAAGAAAGAAGGATTAAACACATCTATAAACCTGTCAAAGCATCATGGGCCCATTGGCCGTAGCAACCGCTCCCCAGACCCTAGATTTACTCTTGCACTCCCCAACACTGTCATCTTAGCCCTTCTCAGAGAGAGAGAGAGAGAGAGCGCTTTGGTTAAGATGCACAGGTACTGCGCTATTTATATCTTCTGTGTGCTCTCTTCT